AAAAGATTCAGCTACTAAATAGTAATTCTCAGCCAGCCAGGTCCTCCCTTGGGTTATTAATTGGCCCTCAGAGGGACTTGTTGTTCTCTTTAGACCAAGAAACGTTTCTTTCCAGCTTTTACTTCCACCAGTATACAGTAGCTATCATTACAAAGACAACAGAAACAGAAATTGGTTGCAACCAAGAGAGGACGAAGAAAATATGGAATCAGTAATACAAGACTCCTGACTAATATCAAGAGTCCAATTTTGAATCCACTGCTGGTTTTCAGAAGTAAATGGGTGTGGAAGCTTCACACACACTTTATCCAGTTGTTAGTCAAATTCCAGTGATCCAATATGGCTTTCAAGTGTACCAAGAAACAATCCTACAAATTTTTCAATAAAAATTAACTACAAAAAATTAAATAATTAAAAAAGGAAACAATCCTACAAGCTAGTTAAATGACCTACCCACAGAGAGCTGAGTAATGGTTTTCCACACAGCTTCACTAAATTGGGATATAACCCATCAACTTGATCTAAGGCATCTTCTAATGTTAATTTGGGAGCAGAAAAGACTCCATATTGCATGATGATCAAAAGAGCCCAGCAACATGGGGAGGTCCACAATATCAAAATTATCCCTGGAAGCTAAAGACACGGCTCTAGTCTCTCCAACAGGAATCTCCCATCACGCATAGATTCCACAGCCTAAAAATATCACCAGGAGCACTGACTATATCTAGGCTGCAAAATAGCAAATTATGGTCTTTAATGCAAAGATAGACTAGAACCATTAGCAAGGCATCAAATACCAGGAAGAAGAGTACAATCCAAGACACAGAATTGGTTCTAAGAGGCCAGAGATCAAGAAGCAGTCCCTAAAGCAAAGTCCAGGGCTAGGAACAGAAGACCAGAGAAGAAAGACAGGACTTCTAATCCTGTTTGGCTTCTACATGGGTTCACAGCCAACTGGGCTCTTGAGCTGAGCAGTGTCAATGCTAACCCACTTAGGATAGGTTTCCATGACATACTGAAATACAAACCAGCTAACCTTCAGCTATGGTTCAGGGTGCTGTGCAAACCCAGAAAACTGAATAAGCCATGGTTGTATTGGCTATGTCAGCAATGGCTGGAGGCTAGAAACTCTTTGGTCTTAAAAGGCTATGCTTTGAGCTTCAAGGAACAGCTGCATCAAATCTGGCTGGCTCTTAGTAAAATCTGAAGGTCCTCATCATCTGCTCCTTCATCTGAGGATAGCAGAGAAAGAAGTCAACAGAACTCAAGTAAGAATTCATTGTCTGCTGGCTCATCCTCATTGCTGGATCCAGATGTTGAGGTATGAGTGGTGATCATAACATCTGGCTTCCATATTTCCACCAGCACCTCCCCCCCCAAAGAAATAAGAGTTTTTTGCCAATATACAATAAGAAAGTTAAATATATAAAACAACTTGAGAGCACTAAAAGCAGAAGAGAGCAGCATTCTATAGTCGTAGGAAAATTGCAGTCCAAATTTGAAATATATTAGGGTGGAGTAGGGGAAGATGTCTTTTCTACTAATAAAAAAAAACTACAGAAGGGGAGATAAAACACATTTTGCTAGTCTGGCTGGAAATAAAGAAAGTCATATGCCCGATTTTCATTTTTTATTTTTCCCCCCCTCCAACCTCTTTTGTACCAACACTGCAGTTTGAAGTTATAATAAATCAGCCACAGTGTACATTAGGTTCATACTCAAATTACACTTTCTTTCTCCCTGCTTCTTTCCCCCCATCTCCAATTCTTTGTTAGGACACTGAGAAGGAAAGATCAGCTATAAGTTTTATTTGGCAAAGAAAGATGGTGATCCATCAGCCCCTTACTGTAAAGATAATAGGTCAGATAAAGTGATTAAATGCCCCAAGGCTTAAAATAGAGGCAATTCCAGTGTAATATTTCCCTGGCAAAGCTCATCAAAAGTAAATCATAGTTTTCTAAAAGCAGGATCTGTGCCAGTGGTTGTCCTCCCAGGTGGTCAGTTGGTACAGAGGAAACTGAAAATGTGGAGGCATTGTAGGAGGAGAGCTGTGTTATGCTATGGTAGCCAAAAAAAAAGGGTCTGGAAGCACCTTTTCTCTCTAAGACATTTTATGAAAAGCCATAAGCTGCAGCTCATGAAAGCTTATCCTTTTAATAATATTTGTGAGTCTGAAAAGATGCTACCAGGCTCCTCCTGATTTTTTTCAAAATGTGGAGGCTGGTGATCGAAATTAAAACTAAAAGCGAATTAGGTTCATGCTACATGTTGCAGGGAGCTTTGAGATCTGAAGAGCAATCATAGTTGTGTCGGGCCATGAAAAAAACTTCCAGATCTGTAGTCAAGTAATATCTTAAAACCAAGTGAAAGAGCCCACACAAGTGCACAAGTTTTTCCATTCTCCAGGATGTTTTAGCAGCTAAGATGTTAACAAAAAAAAACAGGGGATGGAAAAGAAGTGGCAAAGTCCAAACATCAGGTCAAAAGTTTCAGTTATACAATCTGTTTCTTCCTAGTCCTCTGATTTTTTAACATCTTGCCTGATATTCTGATAATTGGCTGTAATAAGATTTTTTTTTTTTAAAAGGTAAAGAATTCCTTGAGCATGAAACTGAGCAAACTCAGGGAGGCAGTGAAGGACAGGAAGGCCTGGCGCA